CTCTGCATCCATGTAATAGCATAAGAAGCATGAGAAGAAAACGCAAGAAATTCAATTGTTTTGACCTAATTCGGCATCAATATGTATGTCATTCATGCTGAAAAATCAAAAAATATAAATTTTTATTTTCACCATGAACGACCCAATTCAGCTTGTTCGCAACTGCAACGTATTGAATGCCAGTTGCTGATGCTGAATGGCATTTGTAAAAAGCATCTTCAAAAGGATATGAAGACTTCTTAATCCGTGAAATATACTAAAATATGTCATACTGGCGACATCGCTCTGATGAGACAACGAAACCTCCTCTCCTTTTCCTATCCTTCGACAATCGACATTATACTTAACAGTGCCTTGTACAAATCACACGTCCTCAGAGTCCAGTGGAATATGCGGCGTAACCCCCGAAATTTTTGGAGCTTTGTCAATAGCAAAAGGAAAAATTCGAGTATACGGTCCAACATGCTACTCGATGGGAAAGAGTTCACTTCTCTTAGCGAAGCGTGTGAGATGTTTGCTAATCACTTTGCATCTGTCTTCGATAAAAATATCATAAGTTACGTTGAAGCTGAATCTGCTGCCTCTGATACGCCTAGTGACTTAGTGGAACTGAGCACATTCGAAGTAACTCGGGATATTGTACTTTCAGCAGCAAGGCTACTGAAAACCTGTAACCAGTTGGTTACAATCCGTGGATTTTCGTTTGTATGAGTTGTTGTTGTTTGGAACATTCACGTATTTTAATATCAACGACAGAAGGCAACACACAGCAGCGAGAGGATTAGTACCGCTGCAAAAACACTCGAACGATACTAAAGGGAGGACAATCGTAGTCTTAAGCTAAAAATGGAGAATGATCGGCAAAAGGCATGCGAGTGGCCATGTTCTAAAAGAAATAACCTTCTAATTGGCAGAAGTAATCAAGCGTCCGTGTAGACCGGTATCGTGAAGTGTAGTGCATATATAATACAACCTCCCCCCCCTTGTGGGATTTGGGCTGGAAAGCCTACCTCCGTTCAGGTAATTGATTTTTATTATCCTGACGGAAATTTCCCTGACAGAATTTGATAATTCTCAGGACTTCTTGTGCTTTGGTACAACACGTACACCTCGTACCGTAAACAAAACGGTTTTACACGACTTGGCTCGAAAGTCAAGATGGCTTCCGAGCCTAATAGTAAATGATCCTCGATCGTCCGTCAGGAGGGTCCCGTCTCGGCTCGACCAAGGTGGCCATGCCACGGTCAGCCGATTTTGTCAACGACGGAAGACGCCTGCCAGCCAAACGAGCCAGCAACGCCTGCTAAGCCGTATGTGGCTGATGAACGCCACCAGATCCGCCATTCTCCCAAAGCTGCAACAACACTGTCTGCAGCCCGCGCCGCAAGTTTCCGGCCACACGGTAGTGCAGGAGCAGCCGTGTGGGCCAACGCTAGCGTCGCGACGCCGTAGGAGATCCCGCTGCAGCAGTGAGTACAGTGCAAATTTTAAAACCCTCGCATACACGCCACATATATGTGAAAGCCACACCCACACGCCACAGAATAGGGCAAGTAAATGTGTTATAAAATGTGAATATTCCTGTGTTGTCCGCGGAGCCCCTCCGAATACCCAGTAACATGCCGGCCCTGCGACACAGTTCAGGGGTCTCATGCTATTGAGCTAGTTACCCGGGAGTGTCTGGTCATGCCATAGTCACAAACCTCACTCTCTCCTGGTCCAGATGGAATTCCGGCAGTGGTGTTCTGCCGTTGCTCAGCTGCCTTAGCAGAACTTTTAGCAGCCATATTTAATGCATCCTTTGAGCAAGGAAAATACCCAAAATTGTGGAAGCAGTCGTATATGTTTCCTGTTTTCATAGCTGGCAATAAACGGGATATTAAGAACTATCGAGGTATCACCAGTCATTTGGCAGCGTCCAAACTGTTTAAGATCATCTTGAGCGGATTTGTCCTGAATCGCTAGAAGAACTACAAATCAACCGACCAGCATGGATTTATTTCCGTGTAGCTACTAACCTTTTGGATTTCACCAGTACATGCATCACCGCGATGGAGGATAAGGCACAAGTCGGCGTTATATATACTGATCTGAAAGCCGCATTCGACAAAATTGACCAGAAGGTTTTGTTATGCAAGCTTTTCTGACTAGGAGCGTCTGAGCAACTTACGTCGTGGTTACATTCCTACTTGACTGGACGAACTCTTCGAGCACGACTATGATCTTGTGTCTCTTCTACGTTTACCAGCACCTCTGGAGTATCTCAGGGAATAACCTGGGTCCACTTTTGTTTACGTTATTCTTCAACGATGTAGCAGCTTTGTTGGGAGTTAAATGCAAGCTCGTTTATGCAGATGATCTTAAACTATACGTCATAGTTCACAGCTCTGCTAGATTTGTTTGTGGATTGGTGCCGTCGCAATAAGGTCATCATCAGCGTTCCAAACTGTGCAGTGATGACGTTTCACCGCTCCAAGAGTTCAATCCTTTACGACTACTGCATTGACAATGTAACGCTTCGCAGAGTAGAACACGTATGACTGATCTTGGTGTTCTTTTGGACCCAAAGTTGACCTTCAATGTTCACTATTCCTCGATCATCTCTAAGGCGAATCGTCAATTGGGATTTATTTCGAAGATTGCACAAGATTTCAAAGCCCCTTACTGCCTGAAGGCACTATATTGCTCTTTAGTTCGGCCCATGCTTGAGAATGCATCTGTGGTCTGGTCTCCAATGAGCTAGTGTGGAATCTCCGAATAGAACGTGTTCAGAAAAGATTTTTGAGGTTGGCTTTGCGCAGCCTGTCGTGGCGCGATCCAATGAATTTACCACCTTATGCAGACCGATGCATGCTAGTTGACCTGGACACATTGGAGCACAGAAGAAAAATGCAACAAGCCTTATTTGTAGCGAAACTTTTAAATGACGATGTAAACTGCCCTCAACTGCTATCACAATTAAACTTCCGTATTCCTCAAAGGATGTTGTGTCAATCTTCGTTACTACAACCAAGATTCCATCGGACTACATATAGATACCATCAGCCAATGTCTGCGATGATCCGGGCATTCTCCGATGCAGAAAAAGGATTTGAATTCGGAAAAACATCCAACGCTCTAACGCTTCGTATTTCTCCAGTCAGAATGACTACTAGTCTCCCGAAAGTTTCTCATGTTACTTCTGATAAGTTCCACGACGTTTCGACGGAAGTCCATTATCTATGATGATCTTGAGTTCCTAGTTGCGTCTTATAAAACTGTTACACCAGCAAGGAAAATAGACAGTGCCCATCTCCGGGTATTTTTTTAACGAGCATCACTTCATCGCTTGTGCTCAATTGTGCTGCTCTTCTTTCACTTTTACTTTGTTGACTCCAGTGTTGGCAAAATCACAAATCAATTGATATTTTTCCGCTCTCATGCGCTCGCAATATCACGCGTGATATTGGAACCTAATATCATGCTTGATATTGATTTTACAAGCTCCTTTGATATCGCGAGACTATTCACAACGTGCAAAAATCAAGCTGAGAGTTGACTCGACACAAAAATGATTCCGTTGCACATCGTTTTCTTAGAAAGAGAAAGTATAGTTTGCTATCTCTTTTTACTCTTCACCGATGGCAGACACGAATTGACTGCTGCCAGCCATTATAGAAGATTCGGTTGCATTCGGGTGTAAAGCAAAAATCATGAAACTCAATCTCACCACAGTTTGTTGAAATTTGCAGCTGGTGAGTTTTGTTAGCTTGATATTCCGAGCTGCGATATCACAGCTTTCAAAATCAACCGCAGTTGTTTACTTGTTGATTTTTGTCTACGAAAATCAAGCGTGATCTTGGGCGTTGGTGAGATTTGATTTTTTGATATTTTTCCAACACTGTCATGGTACAAGAAAAAATATAGATACCTACATTATTATCAATGCTGTGATATAACCACAACGGGATGGCCGTTCAGAATGGTTCAGCGGATGTGAAATGAGGGAACATTTAAATTTAACACGATTTAAAATATTTCAATACAACATTCACCTTTTTGACTAATAATTAACAAATTTTTCAATTTGTTATCTTAACTAATTTCTTGAAGCATTTACAATAAGTATCAATGTTCCGTCATATCGTATCTTCAAGTGATCTTCTCCAGCTCCACATTTTATGCAAGCTCTTTGAAACTACATGTAGTGAAATAAGCAAAACACACCTTTTAAAGTGAATTGCACATAACAATGGCCAGTGTCATAACTTACTCACACACACGCCCTAACCCTCACTGAACCAAAGGGCAGGGATGCGTCGATTTGAAAATTACGCATAAATGAATCAATCAATCCAGCAGATCTCTGGAATTGTCCTCGATTGCATAAATTCAATGGATCTCAACCGGTTGTAAATTCTCATAAACTTATTAAATTTCTGTGATATAATGTCAATCTTCCTACCCCGTGCAAGAATTCAATAAATCTCTATTACTTCATAGCAACTTTCGCGAATCACACCTAACCTTCCATTACCGTAATATTGCGCCAATCCCCCTTTCACCATCCAAACACCCGACTGTAGGTATTCATCCATTCACTTCCACCCCAACCACACCACAGAAACAATGCAATCGGTGTGGGTGGGGAAGTAGCGCTCAGCAAAACAAAAACGTGATACTATTCAAGTTCACTAACATTTCGAATTATTGCTCGAGTCAGCCCGGGCGGCGCTGCTGCTCAATATTTATTACTGCTGTCATTCCTCTTCAAGTCAAGTCCCAGTAGTGTCTGAGTCTGACTGAGCTGCTCCCGGACTGTTCATTGGAACCGGTTCGCGGTTCGACTAATGTCACTCCACCGTACCACACCCGATGCCGTTATAATTTAATTGGCTTCGACAGGCAGGCACGAATCGTTCTACTGCCGCTGCTGCCAACCAACCCCCTCGCGATAATCAATATTGATGTTCTAATTCATGTTAATAACCTTTTGTTTTTGCTTATGTTCTTAATTATAGATTTGAGTCGCAGCAAATTGGGCGGCGCAAAGCAACATCCAGGACCCGAATCCAGCATTCAGCCAACAATTCGTGGAGATGCGGAGTTTAGACAAACTGTGGTGGTGGCGGCCGATAGGCCTATCGAAATGCAACTACTCCTATGCCCTGCTAGCCGGACTGATGGTCCTCTGCTCGTCGCTCTCAGTAGTACAAACAGGTAATTAGCGTCACGCATCGTACTGCTATAATCTACAAATGGGAGAGGGAGATGGGTGGCGCTTTTGAGTCCACGTCGCATCGTGGTTGTAGATTTTGAATTGTGAGAGAATTGCGATCATCACCCACCGATGTCGGGGGAAATTTATTGTGCTGCCAGAGAATTGCGATGGGTAACTGTATGCAAATTTAACGATGAGACTATAAATATGTTATTAGTGGACTCTTTACTTTTATGTCTTGCTACTGCTCGTTGAGTCGATAGCTAGTTACTGGCAAGTTTTCCGTTAATCCGAGTACTAATTTAAGTGACCACTTTGCCAATCGACGACGTGCTCGCCCGGCTAAACTTGTGGGTCACCGGTGAACAAGCAGGGTGATTGTCTTTTCATAGCAGAAATTGCACGTTATTGACTATTATGAATCTAATTGAATGAACTGGGCACTGATATGATTGATGAAATATGACTCGTACCCACAGAACTTATCAGTCGGAACGTAAACAAACTAAGTCTACCCATCATCGCACCACGCAGTATTTAGTCTACTTGACAGCCCGACGAACGCCGTAAAAGCCCATAATCAAAACAAAAACCCGCCTCCAGACACGGAATCCATAAATAATTTCGCGCTACACTTTTTTTTCCCTGGCTGTTGTACAGATAACACTTTCCGTTTCATCCGAAGCAGCTCAATTCCCGTAAAGCTGCTAAGTGCTAAGAATCGCTTTGCTCGCACATTATGCAAATCGGCGTGCCGTACGCAGTTTACCGGTACAGGCGAGCGATCCATCTTGCGAGTTTACGGACGACCGCCCACCCACCCACACACTGTTCGATTCGGTTTTAGGTCGGAGTGCGTACGAAACGAGTGGGGAGGATGATATTCAAGTATCTACACTACAATAATACCGAACAATCAGCATAAATCAACTCCAGGGGCTCCAGAGTGACTTCCTTGCGAAGGCTTTCGGCTTCAGTTGAATGAAATAATTGGGATCGTTGAGAAAGTGTAGTTCTTCATATGATACATTTTAAACTTAAGCCGGGACTAGACAAGGCAAAACAATTATGATCAACTCACTTTAATTCAACTGGCTTGCAAAATTGAGCCCGATTCTACTTTTTTCAATTCAAGTTCAGTTTTCAACTCATTTGAAAACTAATCCATAAGACACACTGGCCGAACGCCATAAGTTCATTAAACTTAGGGAAACTTGGAACAATTTTCAACACTGGGACACTGAATAATCTTTAATATCTCTATCTGAAAAACGACATTGAAGACATTACAATATCTTGATTTTTTTTTTTATTTAGATCTTGGATCTTTGAAAAATATTAAAACCACATTACATGAAACACAAATTGGATACCGAACTTAGTCCCGATTTTAAGATAACCGACTTTGATAATTTTCCAAGATTGTGGATCCCAGTGTTGGAAATATCACCTAAAGTTCATTGTCGCAAGGAAGCTGTTTTCGCTAGGGAACTTTGCGATGCGAATTTCGCGAAGCTTTATTTCTCGAGCGAACTTTCTTGCTTGAGATAGAGAGGAACTAATATCACTCCCGATTTGACTCACCAGCGAGAGATCTTATGTTACGAGATATTTTTTGTTCTAACTTCTAATATATTCTAATCTAACACTAACACAGCCAGTTCTTGAAAGCATCCTGGAAAGTTATGTATATACCTACATCATTTTTCTTGTCTATTTGATATATGTTTCACATCGAAGATACGTCACACATTTCAAAACGGTCAGGCCTACTGTGCAGCATTTAAGAGCAAGATGATTCAGAAAACATCAGGCCTGTTTAAATCGCGGAAAAATAGAAGAAGAAAATCGTGACAGCTTTTAAAAAGCCAACCGACCTCATCAATGCCTACTCCAAATCTCAGATATTTATTGTTCTAACTTCCTTACACAAATTTTCGTTCCCGATATATGATTAAATAGATCGCGAACAGTAACTCGAGCACCTAAATTTACATGAATTTTTCTAAGTGTGTAGTGCTGTCGCATTAATGGTCCTTCCCTCATTTTCAACTTCTATTCAATTTTCATACTGCCGTCCTCTAGCGGAACTATCAACCTACACCCAACCGAGGGATGTAAGATTCGCTTACAATTATGTGGGATTCATCATCAGAGGATGTTAGTGGAGACCGCATGAACCGAGGATGCGATATACCTAGCTGCGGTCCAATGCAAGAAAATGGGAGACCGAAAAATGTAGAGTGTATTAGTGAGGTAAATTAGTTATGTCGAAAAAAATAGGAATCAGATTGCCGACTAGACTCGAACCACGAGAACGTTGCGATTATCAGACCTGTGCTTTCTCCACTGCTCTCTCCATGCTCCTGAATATGGATAGCCTAAAAGCAAACATGAAGCGCTAATTTTCTCGCATACTCGACTTCGCATGCTGGAGAGATTCGAGGCAAGTGTGTGCGTCGTTCTACAATGTTCTACAATGTGCGTCGTTCTACAAGCTTACTGGTATAGTCGAAAGCGTAGATAGAACACGAAATAAAAAAGACAAAAAACCATTACATCGCCTGCATGGTCAATTCCTAACATTCGTTGCGATGTTCATGAACAGAAGATGATAGGAAATGGAACTAACACTCATTGTAATAGGTTTTTGGTTTGCGTGTATATCAATCAGAACTTTCTCTAGCTAATAAATTATCACGCTAAAACTTCATGTTAGAAAGCTTTTCCAACCAACTCTGAAAATCGTAAACTTCACGTATGAAGTAACATAAAAACACTTTTAACATCTTAACAAGCTTTAAATTCTTCACAGAATTTCTTTAAAATATTCTCAAGAATTTCGATATAATAAAAAATTACTAACAGTTCATCTTGGAACTCTCTTCGTCTCTGGTATTCCCATATAATTTGCTAAGTTCTCTAAAAATTCTCTGCAGAACACTCTTTGAATTAATTCTAAAATTTTCTAACAAATTCCTTATAATTCTGGTTGGCGGCGCTCAAACATTCCGTTGCGGAGATGCTAAATGCCGGGTACTCCAGGCATGCGCACCATTTAACGGATGGGTCCAAATCGCACACCGGAGTTGGGATAGATCTTGTCAACGAGTTTGAGCCTACAGTGGCAGCGGCAATATTCAAAGCAGCAACCAGATAATACGACCGACCAGTCCTAATCCTTACAGATTCACACAGCGTAATCTCTGCTCTCCGGTCCAACATGTCCACTCATCCGTCGATTCAGATATGCCCCTCAAACACAGTGTTCCGGGGCATTGTGGCATCACTGGCAACTCCAACGCTGACAGATTGGTCGGGTGGGATCATCCGGTGCCAGGTACACCGATGAAGTTCCCCTTCGGACGTCAAGCGATAGGTCGAAACCGCTAGGTGGCAAGAAGACTGGTTGGCAAACCAAGGATCGCTTCTAAGGAAGATCAAGGAGAGCACGCGTCCATGAAAGCACCTTAGGAACCTGAAGAAGGAACGAGTCACACCCCCCCCCCCGAGCAAAGCATTATACCAAATTGATAACAAGCTCTTATACCCGGTTATCAATATTTTATAACAGAACATGTTATCATTGTGGTTGAATAAAGAGCCAACATAACAAAAATTAAAACAAAAGAGCACTTCTTAGGTATCTCAAAAATATCTGATTTAGTTATCATTGAAAACAATTTGATAACAAATTCTGTGATCGACGCATTTTTTCCAACAAATTTAAAATTAATTGATTCAGTTTGTATTAATGCCTTACGCTAATAACTGAAATATGATTCGAAGCGTTTTTTTTTTTTTTTTTTTGTTTACCATGTGGTTATTATTTGAAGTTTTGAACTAACCTTTTGTCACTTCATATTCTTTCATAATAACAACTGATAACGACATTAGTCGAGGTTTATAACTAAATAAGTTATGCGATAAAAACAGAAAACAAAATTATATCTGGAATAACATGACTTGTTATCAACATGATATCAGGTTGTTATTTTACTTTGCTCGGGCCGGCTCTCACACGATTTCGGCGGAGGAGCTTTCCGCAAGACCTGCATCGTCTGTAATAATCCAGCCATCGTCGAGCATATCCTCTGCGTGTGTCCGAAGTACGAGCTCGTGCGGCAACACTACGGCCTTTCGGGGAATATCGGCTATATACTGGACTATCCTGATCTCCTTCCTAAAGGACAATGGATTATTTTTCAACGTTTGATTCTTTCCTTTCGGTCAGAGAAGAATTTCTACCGGACGAGGGCACCGCCTCCCACGCGGAGCCCTGCCTTGTTCGGATTAGAATTCCTTAGATTCCTTAGAAATTAATCTCAGAATTTCCTATGAACTTTAATTAAAAAATCCTTTGAATCCTATTCTCCTTAGGTTTTACCTAGAATCTGAAGTTCATCAGAACTACCGTGAAAGCAATCCTCCTCAAATTCCCTTGAACTTATCCCTAGAGTTCCATAGAAATTGTCATCAAAATCTACGAGCCTTAAAAATTGCGGCAGAAAATTAAAAAAAAAAACCGGCTGAGTAAGAGAATTTGAATATACCCTAGTAATGATAAAATTCCCTGAGAATTCCAGGTTTTCCAGAAAAAAATAAAATTTCCTGAAGATTCCCGGTTTTCCAGAGTTTTTTATGTAGTAGACACCCTGTAATTTGTAAAACGTTGTCAACTTATGACAATTAATCATGTTTTGTTGTTTTTGACATCATCCACATCCAGAGGGCCAGTCACTTTCGAATGTATGGGAATGGTAGGAAACCAGTTGGAAATGCATGAAAATTTTCAGTTTTTATTCATTATCGTCTTTATGAGCAGATTTAGATGCACAAAAATTGCACGAGTACATTACTATGGTGATAAGGTAAACACTCGTTTATTTGTTTCCTTCTGTGAAAGCACAAATCGTGGATTTTCTGATATTCTCCATACTGCAAAAATGATTTTCCTACCACTGAAGGGGCGACATCTCTCGGATCTTCGGTATAGCTA